TCACAGACAAGCCTGCATCGAGCCAAATGCGACAGTCAAAACTTGCACTGCTGGGAGCAACAGTGGTCAAGAGGAGCTTCTGACAGGTTGGGGGCGGGACCAGTAGCAGCCACTTCTCTGGGCTAGAGCTCTCTGAGTCCATGCTTCAACAACCTCTTGTTCCGCAAGCATCCCAAACCTCTGAGCTTTATCCCCCATCCCCAAGTCAAAGCTACCATCTCCCCAGTTCACCGTCGTCTCCTCCGCCTTTTCCCAAGTTAAGCTTGAAATTATTAGCTTTCCTCAAACCCCAGAAAAAACCAAGAAGGGATCACAGGTATCCATACAGGAAATACAACAAAACAAACACTGTGATACGAATGACTAGGACATTTAGTAAAGATCATATTATATTATAAATACAACTTTACGATATTACAAGGAAAAGCTCATCATTCATGGACTTTTCCTTGTAATATTGTAAATGATGGACTTTTCCTCATAGTATTGTAAAGTTTATTTATAATATAATAAGTTTTATTATAATATAATATGAACACCAGCGTTCGATAAATAGGTACCACTTCGGTGGGAAGGTAATAGCGTTCCGTGCACCTTGGTGTTTAGTCATGCTGGCCACATGACCACGGAAACGTCTTCGGACAGCGCTGGCTCTTCGGCTTTGAAACGGAGATGAGCACCGCAACCCTAGAGTCGGACTCAACTGGCTTTCGAGCAAGGGAACCTTTACCTTTACCTATGATCTTTACTAAATGTCCTAGTCATTCATATCACAGTGTTTCCTCAAACCCCAGACATTCACTCAGGGCCTGAACCACTGTATTGGATGCAATTGGAAAACGGAGCTCAGTCTCGTCAGCCCACTGATGATATCCCAATTAACTCCAAATCACCCATTCCCCCCCCCCCAGGGGCTGCCTATAGATACGGAAGAGCACAGAGAACAGGTCACCCACTGATCAGATCCTGGAAGTTAGGGGGCAGCCGTCACCCACCGCTACTCTCCGACATCAGCCCTTAAGAACCACCGTGGGAACTATGGCAAGATCTGTGCTCCCGAGTCCCGACCCCCCCACCCTTCCCAGGCAGTCCCCAAAGGGTTTAATGGCCCATCGTCTCAAATGCTACCCAAGAGGTCCAAAACAACCACCACTGTTGTGGCAACAGCTGCTGAGGACAGGCCTTCATTATAATAGTTCAGAAAACAAGCTGTCTTTTCTGCCGGAAACTATTCGATTTTGCCGCCTTCCCTTCCCTGTGCTCTCCCCCCCTGCCGATGGGTGCTATATTGCAGGCATCATGGAAAACTGTGTTTTTGTATTTGACGTGCTCCGAGTTGTAATGTTTTGTGCCTGCAGTTTTAAAATGCATACAGATGGTGGTATGAAACGATTCAAATCAATGTTGCACGCCTCAAAATCTCTTTCTAAAGTTAACCCATTTCTTAATTGTCGTCCAGACAATCTTTCTGGAGTTTAGAGAGATACAGGTAAGACTCTCATTTTTCTGAAATGTAAGTGCTGTATTTTTTTTCCCTTGGGGGATATATTATTAAAGTTTTTAAATGCGCAAAAAATTATAATAGCTTATGCTTTGCAGGGAACAACAGGAACTACTGTGCAAACAAATTGCATCACAACACACTAGAAGAAGGGGGTGGAGGGAGGGAGGGAGGAAGGGAGAGAGAGAGAGGGAGAGGGAGGGAGGGAGGGAGGAAGAGAGAGAGAGAGAGAGAGAGAGAGAGAGAGAGAGAGAGAGAGAGAGAGAGAGAGAGGCAGACACATTCCATGGTGAGCCTAACTGTTCATCCAGCTACGCTCCAGGGTGCCTTTCAGAAGACTCCAATCAAATGCAGCATTAACAATCCCATTCATAACATGATTTGGTGGCTGATGAACATAAGCAATATTTATTTGTAAAATCAAAAAAACAAAGAATAAGCAGATCAGAGGCCAGGGCAGCTAGGCAATTTCTGTTCCGAACCACAAAGGACTGTCAACGCTTCCAACAGCAATGTATCCATGCTATGCATTACTATTCATTCAGTCAAGGATGAATTCAATTAGTAACCTGAGAACAAACTGCAATTGCTGTGAGGTCACATAAGCAGTAAATATATCCCAAATATCTGAGCACTCAACACATTGAGAATACAGAATGCAACAAAACAGTATTGTAGGAAGAGAACTGCCGGTAACCTATACTCAAGCCTTGAGATGCACACAATCATTGTTTGCCATTCTGTGGGACCAACACCATTCTGTTAATCTGCAGGGAAATTCTATGGCAGGAGGAAGGGCATCAATAAATGCTGGAAAACCAGGACTGGTTCAGAGGATAGAGCCTCAAACCTTCCATCCACTAAGAAATACCATCATCAATGACCACAAACTGATCAAATGCCCCAGGTTTGCTAGATAAACTTGTTCAACTTACCTATTCCCAGAGAGGATCTTGTGAGGTCTAAAATGGCACAGAAGTTGGACAAACACTATAGCCAGTTTGGTGTAGTGGTTAAGTGTAGTGGTTTGATTCCCCACTCCTCCACATGCATCTGCCGGATGACCTTGGGCAAGCCATAGTTCTGACAAGAGCTGTCCTTGAAACAGAGCAGTTTCTGTCAGAGCTCTCTCAGCCCCACCTACCTCACAGGGTGCCTGTTGTGGGGAGGGGAAGGGAAAGGCGTTTGTAAGCTGCTCTGAGACTCCTTTGGGTAGTGAAGGGCAGGGTATAAACCCAATCTCTTCTTCTTCTATATAGTCTCTATATTTTTGTGCTGAATTTGCTTGTCGTGATTGTATAACATGACTTTGTAAACTCAATTCATACAGCGCCTTCTTAAAAATTTAGTGCTTTTTTGTCTATGGCTGATGGGTAAACTGGAAGATTGCAGACTGGACTCTAGGATAGTTAGTTAGGATAGGGAAGTGGTTGGAGAACCGCACCCAAAGAGTAGTTGTCAATCTGATTGGAGGGAGGTGTCCAGTGGGGTGCCACAGGGCTCGGTTCTGGGCCCGGTACTTCCCGGTATATTTATAAATGATCTGGGTGAGGGGGTGGAGGGACTACTCGCTAAATTTGCAGATTACAACAAATTGGGAGGAGTAGTGAACACACCGGAAGACAGAGACAGGATTCAATGAGCTCTGAACATGATGGGAAAGTGGGTGGAAGTGAGCAAGATGCAATTCAGTAAGGGTTAGTGCAGAGTTCTAAATCGGGGTCACAGAAATAAGATGCAGGCATAGCGGATGGGGATACATTTTTGGATAGCAGTCTGTATGAACAAGATCTTGGGGTGCAGGTGGACTGTAAGCTAAATATTATCCAGCACTGTGATGCAGCGGCAGAAAAGGCTAATGCTGTCTTGGGGTGTAGCAACAGAGGCATAACATCCAAATTGCAAGATGCCATAGTCCTTCTGTACACCGCATTGGTCAGGCTGTACCTGGAGTACTGTGCACAGTTCTGGAAGCCTCACTTCAAAAAGAATGCAGACAAAATGGAACAGGTGCAGAAGAGAGCGACGGAGTGATCAGGGGCCTGGAGACCAAGCCCTACGAGCAAAGGCTGAGAGGCTTGGGCAAGTTCAGTCTGAAGAAGAGGAGGTTGAGGGGGACATGATTGCTCTCTTTACGTATTTGAAAGGCTGTGACTTAGAGGAGGGCAGGGAGCTGTTCCTGTTGGCAGCAGAGGATAGGACTTGAAAAATTGGGTATATAAACT